TTTTTTAGTCAGAGTCTCACTCCGTCCCCCAGTCTGGAGGGCAGTGGCATGCTCCCGGCCACCACAGCCTCTACCTGCTGGGCTCAGGCAATCCTTCTGTCTCAGTCTTCCAAGTAGCTAGAACTATAGGCGCTTGCCACCACGCCCAGATAGTTTTTTGATTTATTGTAGAGACGAGGTCTCACCAAGTTGCCCAAGCTGATCTCAGGCAATCCTCTCGCTTCAGCCTCCCAAAGTACTGGGATTACAGGTTTGAGCCACCACACCTGTGCTTCCACCATTTTCTTTGACAGTCCTACCTGTCGCATGGTGACGCTAACATTCATTTGATAAATGCCATCTTTTGAGCAAAACTTATACTTCAAATGTGTAAACTTTTTTGGACACTATATTTATATATAGTGTCCGTATATTAATATATATTATTTAAATTTTGGCTTGTCAGTCCCACTCGATACACGGCAATACACTCAACCGCCATATGTGGCTGGTGGCCGCCATATTGGACAGAAGAGATATGGGTCATTTTCCATAACTGCAGAGAGTTCTTTTGGCCAGCACTTCCCCAGATGGGCTCCCCCGCTTTCTCCGTTTTTGGTGCCATCCACAAGCAGCATCCCCTGTCTACTCTCCAGTCTCCACGTGGGTGCCTGACAGACGTCTCCAACATGATCAAGACCCAGTTCTCGATTTTCCCTGTCAAACACGACCCTCTCATCTTCATGGAAGGTAATGCCATCATTCTAGTTACTTGAACCAAGGACCTTGGAGTCACCCATGACCCTCTTGTTCCCTTACAACTTTCATCCAGTCCATGTGCAAGTCTGACCAGCCTGACCTTCAAGATGATTCCAGAATCCACCCCTTCTCCCTATTTCCATGGTCCAGTCACCAGCCCCTCTCCCCTTCTTGGAAGACTCCTCCTGGCTTTGATCTTTGCCCTAAAGTCCGTCCTCAACACAGCACTCAGATGGATCCTGCCAACCTTTAAGGCAGGTGGTGACAATCCTCTGCTCAAAACCTTTCATGTTGTTTCGTCACAGACAGTGAAATCCACATTTCTTACATTGGCTGCAGGCCTGAGGGGCTGGGGCCATCTCCCCAACTGTCTCTCCATCATTTTTCCTCATGCATTCTACCCTGTCAACTCTGGAGATCCACCAAGTTCATTCTTTCCAATGTGCTTGCTGTTCACTCCATCTAGAATGTTCTTTCCTCAGATATCTGCAAGGCTCAACCCCTCACTTCACTGAGGTTTCCGTTCAAATGTCCTCTCTCTAGAGCTGCACTATCTTTTTTTTTTTTTTGAGTTGGAGTCTCACTCTGTCGCCCAGACTGGAGTGCAGTGGCCGTTCCCGGCCACCGTAGCCTCGACCTGCTGGGCTCTTCCGCCTCAGCCTTCCATGTAGCTGGAACTACAGGTGTGCGCTACCACGCCCGACTAATTTTTGATTTATTGTAGGATGAGGTCTCGCCAAGTTGCCCAGGTGGGTCTCGAACCTGCGGGTTCAGGCAATTCACTCACCTCAGCCTCCCAAGGCGTGGGATTACAGGCTGAGCCACTGAGCCCGGCTGAGCTGCACTATCTAATACAGCAGTCACTAGACACACAGAGCAATTGAAACTGAAATTAGGCAGGGTGGTTCGCACCTGTCCTCCCAGCACTTTGGGAGGCTGAGGCGGGAGGATTGCTTGAAGCCCAAGAGTTCAAGACCAGCCTGAACAATATAGTGAGACCTCACCTCTACAAAAAATTAGCTGGGTGTGCTGACGCACACCTGTGGTCCCAGATATCCAGGAAGCTGAGGTGGAAGGATTGTCTGAGCCCAGGAGGTAAAGGCTATGGTGAGCTGTGAACACATCACCGCACTCCAGCCTGGGCCATAGAGTGAGATCCCAAAACAAAAAATAAAAATAAAATATTCAATCAATATCAAATATCAATATAATAAAAAACTCAGTTCCTCAACATTATAAGCCAGTCACAAAAAGACCAATACTGCATGATTCCACTTATATGAGGTACCAACTATAGTCAAATCATAGAGACAGAAAATAGAATGGTGGTTGCCAGAGGCTGGAGGAAGGAAGGAACGAGTTGTGTAATGGATATGGAATTTCAGTTTTGAAAGATGAAAAGAATTCTGAGAATTGGTTTCATAACAATGTAAATATACTTAACACTATTGAGCTGTATACTTAAAAATGATTAAAGCTGGGTGTGGGGGCACGTGTATGTGTAGTCCTCGCTACTTAAGAGGTTGAGGTGGGGAAGATCACTTGAGCCCAGGAGTTCGAGACCAGCCTGGGCAACATAGCAAGACCCCATCTAAAAAAAGAGATTAAGATTAAAAATATATATATTATTGTCTGGGTGCAGTGGCTCAAGTCTGTAATCTCAGTACTTTGGGAGGCTGAGGTGAGAGGACTGCCTGAGCCCAGGGGTTTGAGACCAGCCTAGGCAACTTGGTGAGACCTCGTCTCTGCAATAAATCAAAAAATTACCCAGGCATGTTAGTGTGTGCCTGTAGCTCTGGCTACTTGGAAGGCTGAGACAGAAGGATCATCTGAGCCCAGCAGGTCGACGCTGGAATGGCTGTGAGTGAGTCACTGCATTCCAGCCTGGGCGACAGAGAGACTCTGACTCAAGAAAATATATATGTTATTATAATTATTACTTTTTAAGTTGGGGTCTCACTCTGTTACCCAGACTAGAGTGTGGTAGCACAATCATGGCTCGCCATGGCCTCGACACCTCCTGGGCTCAAGCAATTGTCTGGCCTCAGCCTCCTGAGTAGCTAGGACTACAGGCATGTGCCACTACGCCTGGCTAATTTTTTGATTTTTTTTTTTTTTTTGTAGAGACAAGATCTCAGTACATTGTCCAGGCTGGAGATTAAGATTTTTTTTTTTTTGAGTTGGAGTGTCACTCTGTCACCCAGACCGGGAGCGGCCACTGCAGCCTCAACCTGCTGGGCTCTGGCGATCCTTCCACCTCAGCCTTCCAGGTAGCTGGAACTACAGGCGCACACTACCACACCCAGCTAATTTTTGATTGATTGTAGAGATGAGGTCTTGCCAAGTTGCCCAGGTGGGTCTCGAACCCACGGGATCAGGCAATCCACTCACCTCAGCCTCTCAAAGCGCTGGGATTACAGGCTGAGCCACCAAGCCTGGCTGATTAAGATTTTTTAATGTAAATTTGGTTGCATATATTTTAGCACAAATAAAAAAAACTTAAGTTTTCATTTACCAATGAAAACAAAACAAAATTCAGTTCCTCAGTCATACAAAGTACATTCCAAGTGCTCAAGTACCATGTGGGGCTGGTGGCTACTAGACTGAATGGCACAGATATAGAATGTTTCTATTGGTATAGAAAGTTCCATCTGGACAGTACTAGCTTAGCAACACTTTCCTGATCATTCTAGTTAAAATCAGCCCATTGCTGGGCATGGTGGCTCATGCCTGTAATCTCAGCAATTTGCGAGGCTGAGGAGATAGGATTGCCTGAGCCCAGGGGTTCAAGACCAGCCTGGGCAACTTGGCGAGACCTCATCTATACAATAAGTAAAAAAAAAAAAAAAAAACATTAGCCAGGTGTTGTGGCGCTCACCTGTAGTTCTAGTTTCTTGGAAGGCTGAGGTGGAAGGACTGCCTGAGCCCAGCAGCCTGAGGTTGCAGTGGCTGTGAGGGTGCCATTGCACTCCAGCCTGGGTGACAGAGTGAGGATCCAACTCAAAAGAAAAAAAAACCTAGCCAGGCTCGGTGGCTCAGCCTGTAATTCTGCGCCTTGGGAGGCTCAGGTGAGTAGATTGCCTGAGCCCGCGAGTTCGAGACCCGCCTGGGCAACTTGGTGAGACCTCATCTCTATAATAAATCAAA